CAGCCTGCTGTTGACCAACATCTCCAGAGCCCTCTCAGCTGGGCAGTTTCCAGCCACTCTTCCCCAGGCCTGGAGAGCTGCAGGGGCTCGTCGTGGTCCAGGTGCAGGAACCTGCTCTTAGGCTTATCCACCCTGCCTGGCCAGATTCTCCTGTGTTTTTTATCAAGCCACAGTGTGATGTTAACTGCTGTCTGTGAAGCCTTGTGCAATTTCTGCCTGTCCTGCCTCTGAAGTGCAAGTGCATTATATCCCAGTTTAACCAGTACCCCCCTGGGTCAGGCAGCACAGGCCACCTGCAGGGCATGAACGTCAAGGGCACAGCCTGTGGGTTAGAGAAGCAGGGAACTGCTTTCTCCTCTCCTTTTGCCCACGTTTTCACTACGGAATCCTTACCCCCATTTCCTCTCTTCCTTCTCCAGCAGCACCACGTCTCCTCTGGCTCCACCATCTGAAGCCTCCAGGTCCCTTGGGACATCTTCTGTGAGATCTCAGCATGAGGTGCTGAGGCAGCAGGGACCCGACCCGAGCGCAGGGAACTGTTAGAAACTGCCACAAACCTCTGCTCTTGGAACCTTCCCTTTGTGCTGTGGTGGATCTTTGTGCTGTGGAGGGATCTGGTGTGGTGGTGGGGTCACAGACAGGAGCAGACACAGGGCACAGCTTACCTGCTGCCCCTCCCTTTGGGGTTGAAAGCTGGCGAGCACAGCGAAGCAAAAAAACACGACACGAAGGCTGGAGGAGGTCAGTTTTTAAAACTTTTTTTATTTTTTAATTTTTTTTTTAAGTTTTTATTTTATATTATCTACAAAGTAAAAGTTTTCTTAACTTAAAAGTTACATCACTGTCTCACGATAGTGATTCTCTCATCAAACGTGATTTATAAATAATAATTCATCAGTTTGACGATTAGAATTTTTTTTTTTCTTTTTTTTTTTACTGAACCTGTTTTTCAAGTTTAGTTAGAAGTAAAAGGGATCTCCAAGTCTTGATTTTTTAGTGATAATAGCAGCAAGAATCACTCTTGTTACTTCTTTTGCTAGCTGATGAGTTCATAACTTTGAAGGGTCATTAAAAAATAAATAACTTCCAGTTTTCAGCAAGCAGAGTTGGGGCACTTGCAGGACTCAGATACAGTGCATGGAATTATGGAATAGCCCACAAGTTCCTAAATGCCTCTACTCAGTCCGAATCTCTCCCACTGCAAGATGAACTGTTAGCATTCCTAGTGGATGTTACAAGAAATCAATTTTTTTTTTTTTTTTTAAACAAAAATAAAATGAAATTCTAGTTTTCTGTGCTTCCAGTTGGCAGAAGCAGTAGAAGGAGGGTATTTGGCCTACAAAAGGTATCCAGCCTTTCAGTTATTCCAGATGAGCCTTACAACTGCTGTTGGTGGTGGGCTTGTACTGTAAAAAAAAAGTTCAAATGTAAATAATAAATTGGCAAGCCACACAACAGTTTGCTAGTAAAGTGGTCACAGGACAACTACTGAGCTGAACTTTGTCTTTTTTTAAAAATTTTAATGTTTTTTAAATTTTTTTTTATTATTTTTTTGAGAATAAAACAAATCCCTGCATATCAAGATGTCCTTTGGATGCTGGTTTGTTTTCTTTTCTTTTTCCTCTAGCTAAACCCTCAGAGAGCAGCCTGGTTCTGCTCACACATTCCCCAAGAAACAAAATCAGGTAACGACTTCACCACAAAAGTTTAGAGGCTGTTTGGAAATGAATAATAATGCAACCCTAGGTCAGGTTCAATTTCAAGCCGAAAGAAGTCATACAACACCTACTTTTCCCCCAAAACTCTGAATTACACATTAGACTCCCATTGTCACTTTACCTCCATCACTAGGAGTCTAACAACCCTACCCCCAAGCAACATTTTTACTCCTATCCTCAAGACTGATCACTTTAAATTTAATAACCCCCCCCAGATCATTATCAACAGGCTACACAGAGTCCATCCCCCACGGCAAAACCTGGAAGAACAGTCCCACAGCGCCAGTGTCCGCATCGTTATCCACTTCTCTCCTTCAGCCAGAGAGAAGCAAAATCTTGGCTAAATTAGCTAAATCTTGTCCAATTAGCTAAACCTTGCACTTAGCTAGGCTCACATTGGGGCTGGCCCAAAGCACAAATGCAGGAACTCTCTGCCATCAGCAGCCTGCCGCTCTAACAAGGACATCTTAAAGTCGTCTTTTTGTTCTTTTTTTTTTTGTCTGGTTGTTCTTTTTTTTTTTCCCCCAAATCTGGTTCACAAACAGTTCTCCTCACTACTCCGACCTGGCTCAGTTAGGGTGCAGGTCTCCCAGGCACACACTCCTCACCTGAAGGGTGCGTCATATAGGGGAAATGTGTTGTTGTCGAGACTGGAATGGGCTGTAGTGCACTTTGAGCGAGGGCGGCTTGGGGACCACCAGGTGGCTGTGTCGTCATTAGCATCATTGGAGCATGGGCAGTTGGGTGAGAAGGAACCATTCCTGACTGTACATGAGCCTGAAACAAAGAGCTCTTTAGTATAATGGTCACAAGGAGGCATCACTCCTGGCCACATGACTTTGTTCAAAGTTTTCGCCAGCTGTACCGGTAAATCCAGAGATTTCCTCTATTTTTAACTAGATTAAGTCAGAGATCTTAATGCAAAAATAAAAACTAAACAAAAAAAATAAAATAATAATAATAAAAAAGGGTTCAAATCCTTACTGCTGGCTCTGAGTCACAGTCTCAATTTTAGCCACTCGGACAGCGAGCGCTGGGAGAAACTGCCAGCATTAAACAGCGGGAGATTGAAATTAAAAAAAACCCTCAGCAAATCTTCAAAACATCTCTGGGAGTGACTCAGATCAAAGCCCTTCCTAGGCAGAGGGCAGAGCGGGTTCAGGCAGGCCCAGTGCTCTGTGGGGAGCCTGGTGTCCCCTCCTCAGCTGCTCCTCACACCACCCCGCTCTCGCTCGTGGCTCCTCGCTCTCTCTCCAGCGACCTGTGCCCACAGGTTCAGCCGAGCAGGCCTTCCAAGAGGAGGGATTTCACCCCTCTACACTGTTAGGTCAGCTTTGTTCTGTTTCCAGTTAAGCTCATCACGGGTAAGGGTCTTGTGTAATCTAAGCAATCATGGCTAAGTCTCAGCAGAAAAAGGAGATTAATCTGCACGATGGCTGATCACCTTCTGGCACACGAGTTCAGTAACTTGTCAGTTGGCTTCTTTAGCTCAGAGCAGTTCATGACTCTAGAGAACATCAGGGGTTTTTTTCTGTTTAATAAGCTAGTAAACACTAGATTCTTAAAAGCACAAAACATTAAGGAACTCTCAGAGCTCTCAGTGGGTTTCTCTTGAAAAAAAAGAAATTAAAAGAAAAGCATTTGTATCTAAGGTTTGCTTTGTCCTTCTACCATATCCCATCGACAGCACTACGGTGCAGTAACTGCAGCCTTCCAAGTTTCACATGCCAGTAAAGACAGATAGCAGATAGTGGCTCCAATTTTATTTCTTAAAAGACAAAAGGGTTACTTGACTCATCACAGACATTCCTCAAACTCTTTATCAGACTTGTACTGTATTAGTAGCACTCAAGAAGCCTTTAAAGGCAGGAACTGCAATTCAAATCTCACTCTTGCTCTAAAAAAGGCTTAAAAGATAAGGCCATGAAACAGAAATACCTTTCAGGATCAGCACCATTTTTACTTTGACAAACATGCTATTATAGCAGCCATCATCATAAAGCAGCCATTCATCTAGCAGCTGGATTCAATACACACATTGGATAAAAATTTTCTGCTGTGGCTCAAACACTTTGCAAATTGGCAGCTGGTGGTACTCTGTAATGAACGTTCAAGAACTGCTTCTCAAGTGAAATATCTGACAGCTCAAGATTCATCTGATAACCTAAAGGGAAATTCAACTGATCCCCTGGTGTCAGCCGAGCTGAAATTCCTGCTACACGGCATTTCAGAGCTGTCTTCACAAGTTGGAAATGAGGCTGCTAAGAAACTATTAAATCCAGTGATTAACTTCCCCACAATGGAATAATTACATGCATTCAGAATCCCTTACAGAACTGCAGTTTCTCCTTCAGTAGAGATTTTCAAGGGAACTACTTTATTTGGGGGAAGTCACTTTAGTTTGGTGTAACTATCATGGATTATAGATGCTAGTTTTCATCCTAAAAAAAAAACATTACAGCAGAAAAGACTGCAGAAGTCAAAAAATCAAGGGCAAGGCAAGCTTTGCCTGACTGCTAAAAAATCCCAAGTGGTGAGCTCTGACTGCAAGTCGTGTCTGAGTCTGGGAGGTTTGCTTGTGCAGTGCCTGTGGCACAGCGGGGAAGGCGCCGGTGGCACCCCCAGGGCGGGCACGGGCCCGGCCACGGCGTGCCCAGCACAACTCAGGGACACCTCTGCCTTTCAGCTGACCCCAAACCAAACACATTTTGGGTTTCAAGGCGTGGCACTGAACGTGTCACTGACCCAGGAGCTTGCAGAAGACCCTGCCGAAGGGCTGCGTGTGAGGTGGCCAAGAAGCTCCAGAGCCCAGGCGTTGACTCAGACCAGTGCCACCACACCAGAGCAGAGCCAGGATCTTGTTTCTGGCAGAAACCAGAGCCTGGGAGGACGTGGCAAGATGCCCCAGCAGTAATCAGGTCTGGACATCCTCTCCTTATCCTCCCGCAGTACAAAAGCAGAAAAATTAAAAGCCTAAGAGAATTAAAAAGCTAAAAAAACCTCAACATCAGTAAAACAATTCCTAAATAACTATTCATCCATTGGCTTAACTGACTGTCCCAGGGACCAAAGTAAACATTTTATCAGAATGCTGCAAGGGACTGGACACCTATTAGACTAACCTCCCTAATTACAGTTAGTCACGATATCCCAAACTATTGTTATCCTGTATGAGAAGGCATAAGCCAGACACCAAGTACTTGGTCTGAAGAAGAAATTGTGCAGGCAGATTACTGATCAACTGTCTGTTCCTTGACAAAGCACACTAAATCCGTGAGATTTAGTAAACATAGGAAATCTTTGTAACACTGCTTCATGCAGAGCTCTTTATTAATCAATCATGTGCTCCCCTTCCCCAAATCCTTTGTTGTTTTTTTTTTTTACAGTGAGTTGACCACAAGAGAGCAGTTAAGAGAAGTGGGTTTCTGATCCTAAAGTAAGGACTGTTGTTAAGTTGCCCAACAATGGTTGGGAGTCTTCTGCATAAGCAGTTCATTTGGAACCACACACAGACACACACGCACACAGTTTTCTCTTTCAGCAAGGATTGTCTTGCAGTCATTTGAACTGAATCTCACCCATCTCCCACTGCAGTGCCTTCCTTCTGCCTAGGAATCCTGTGTCATATCCTTTACTGGATGTACTCGTATAGATCTGACTGCCACACAGAGCCTAAAATTGCCACCAAAAGCAGCAATTCAGCCTTCCTCCGCTCAGCTCTCACCTCCAACCTTTCTGAATGCCAGCTCTTCCTGTGATCATGCAGTGAACCCGAGTAGTGAACTGATTTGGCTGAGAAATAGCCTAAAATGGGGGGTAGGGGAGGCACACTTCAGCTGAATCACGTCCCCAGTCTGGTTTGCTGCATGGCCAAACAGTTCTGTGAGCGGAATGGTGGGGCAGGAGAAGGATGGGAGCCGGGAACTGGGAGGACAGCTCAATTTCTTTCAGTAGCAGTGCCAGCTTAAGATGTCTTCATTAAACTACAGTTGCAGATGCACTGGGTGTTGGAAGCTGAGGTCCAAATATCTTGTCAAATTCTAAATTAAAGGCAATGTACAGACAGAAACCTAAATAACACAACAGGTAGTTTATGCTGAGAGGTGACAGAATGGAAATCACTTCAGCAGGCCCGACTGTCCTAACTTTGTGGCATTAAGACATTTAGTCTTGAAGGTTGTTAAACTGTGTTTACCTGGGGGACATGGGCCATGTGTGGCGGATTGGTATATGCAGGTTGAACATGGGAGGGATGAATGGTGAAGACTGTTTGTTGTGCTGTAGGAAAACTATTTTGTGGAGACTGCGTATTGGAGCCTGGCGTCATGGAAGGAGGGGTTGGAGCTAGACCTGCGTGGTAAATCGCCGACTGCTGTTGGGGGTTGGCCAGGTGGAGTGCCTGAGCAGCCTGGTGCTGATGATGCTGCAAAAAGAAAACAGAGGGAAGATCATTTAGGTCGTGGTCTAGAAATGAGACATGTTTATTCTGTAAGCTAGCCTAAGAAAGATTTGCAGGCTTGCTCTTAATAGTGAATCGAAGGCTCGCCACACCTACGGTCACGAGGAAATTCATGGCAATTCCACCAAGTTCATTTTCACTTTGCACTAGAAAGTCATGTGAGAAGGAGTCTGGCAAACTCAGACTCAGACTGACAGGTAAAACCAAGGAGCACTGCGACCATGCAGCTGGATGTACTTCCCAGCTACACTCTGCCACCTGAAGTTATGACCAGTAGGTGACTAAGGCATGCAGCACTATCACAGGCCTGGTTTGTTTCCTTGTCCTTGACAAACACTTCTCAGCATTTATTTGCTATTTCCAGTTCTAACTGCACTCATATTAAAGCTGTGACAAAATTCCAACCCTTCCTTAACCATAGCACAGAAACAAGCTACATCCCATCCCCTGTGAAGCAGAAGAAATGAGTATCAGAAGACTCTGATACTGGTCCTTGCTAAGGAAAAGGGACTGCCACAAACACCCCTGGTAGCTTATCTAACAGTGTCATCACCCTCCTACCTTCAAGTCCTAGCCACTGCAAGCAGAGAAAAAATTAAATTATAGAGCTCTACTTCCTTCCTTCCAGAAAAGTGAGGGGACTCTAGGGAAGTCCTTCATGAGATCTGTCACAGGCAGTTCGTTTGCACAATGTACCCATCCCACCATTTTATCTCTCAAAGAAATCAGCAGTATCAACGTTAGGCATCAGACAGCTGAACCACCTTCCAGCAGAGCATGTGAAATGGTTAAACCACTGACTCCCTTCAGCTCTGTTACCTGCACGGGGCTAGGAGCAGGGTGGCTTCCAGCATGTTGGCTTTGCTGCTGCCCAGTTGGGGTGGCAGAAGGCTGAGGATGCGGAGGGTGCGGATGCAGGGTAGCATTAGGGTGGGCATACTGCTGAGCAAGTGAGCCAGTGGAAACTAGGATGAAAAAGAAGAGGATTTAATCACAGATACAGAACACGCTTCTCAGCAAGTCACCATCTGCACTTGAAGACTTCACTCTCTCTCAAACATACTGTAAATATATTCCCTCCCCCTTCTAAAAAAAAAAAAAAGTATTTATCTTGCAAATAGCTGAGTATCTTACCTTGCTTTTGTGTAGTTTGGTTTTGCAGGGAAGTCTATAAATAACCATAATTAGACAGTTCATCTTCCCTAGTTTGACAATGTAACAGATACTACATAGAAAAAAGCAGTATTTCATCTTTTGTTTTGTCAAACAGATCAGTTTAGAATATCAAATTTATAATTTTCATACAAATTTAGTTTTTCCTGAATTCAAAGGAGTTACAAGCCATTTTTATTTCCACCATCCAAAAAATTCTTTGGCCTTATACCTGGCTAACCTCACCATGCTACTCTTCTGGAAATTGCTCACAGTACAGTCAGTGTAAAGTATAAACACTGCATGTGTGTTTAGGAGCTATAGGGACACACAGGATGTACAAAACTGACAAAACTGAGGCTGCTTGAGCAGGAAATTTTTGCTGAAGTCCATCTCTTCAACTAAAATAACGGATCTTGCCTCTCTCCTCAAGGCCAACCACTGAGTCTGTTCTGCATCACCACCATTCTGGGAGCTTCTCAACATTGCCAAGAGTCTTAATGCCTTGAAACGGCAGCAAATAAGGTACAAAATTCCAAACAAGGAAAAAACTTAACAACACAGAACTTCCACACCAGTGAAACCACATCTGTCTCTACAGTCATACCAGTCTCCAACAACAAACACCAACAAGTCTCTCTTTGAAGAGTCCTGCTCTGTTCTGCTTCCCAAGGGGCTGTGCTAAATCCTTTTGGGTTTTTTTTTTTAAAAACTTCTGAGGGAATCTATGTATGAAAAACCATAACGACAGCCATTCTGCCTTTACAGACAAAGCATGCAGGTGGAAAGCAAGACCCTAAGAAGATGAAGATGCTTTGTCTATCTCCCTCTACTGCTGTCAGACCTTGGTTGTTAGCCCAGTGTGCAAGCAGGCTTGTGCAGGAGCTTGTGCAGGAGCCAAGGTGCTGCTCCCTCCAGCATCACAGCAGGGCAAGGCCGAGCCTGCTTTTGCTGACAACAGACAAAACAGTCAAAGCAAACGATCAACATGCTCCTGAATCTTCCCTGCAACTGCTCCTTTTTTGTTTTGGTACCTTTTTGTTGCTCTGATTGAAGTGAACTGCTGCTCAGGTGACAGCTTTTTGTACCAGGGTTGGTGTTGGAGGACAACTGGAGGGTGATGCAGTGCCTGCCTGCAGCACACCTTCAGGGGCAATGGCTTTCCTGGTGGCCTGTTCTTGCCCTAGTGAACAAACCTGAAAAGCAGGGCAGCACAGGGAGAGGCTTCAAGCACAACTGTAATGCTGCAGCTCCTGCCTGAGGGGTTCAGGGCCCGTGATGTGTGTTATTGTTATTTCTGCAAGTAACTGTTTGCTGCAGCTTCTGAAGAGTTTCACTGTGCTGGGCCCTGAGTTTATGAATGCACAGAACTGCCCGAGTATGTAAAGGATGAAAGATGGGAGGAGAAAACAGACAAAACTGGAGCTCCATCTGAAAGCACAATATTATTCAGCAAAAAAGCAAGTCTCAAAAAGACAGCAACCCTACTGTGCTCTGCTAACCAGCCCTGACACGCTACCACCCTGTGCAAGTGTTTGTTTTCCTCCAGCCTGGCTTGCTATCAAGCTGACAAATACTAGTTCTAACAAATTCAAGCTCACTAGAATACACAGAGACAGCATCTTTTTGCCTAATTGATTTTTTTTTAAAATATTTTTGATATCTTTTCTCTACAGGCCACTATGAAGGTCTCTGCTTTAGAAAGTAACAGCTTACCACATTTAACTTCATCCTTCTCTGCTGTCTTGAAAGCTCTGCTCAACCTTCACTGAGCAAACAGTCTTTAACAGTCATGTGCACTACAATTTGAGGCTATTAATGCAGATGAACTTCCTATACATCTGTAACCCCAAATTCTTGCAGCCTCAGTTGATCCTAGCATACCTATGGAGGAGCATTTACGTGTACTTCAGCTCAAGTGTGTGAGCATACTCACACACCATGAGCATTTCTGATGGAGAGAGCTTTTGAAAACACCTCAATATTTTCTATGCACGCTGGCAAAACTACCAGTACTTTCCACCACAGCACTCTGTTAATGCTTTCAAATGCAAAAAGTTGGGTTTTTTTCCATATCACTATTAAAATTTACTTTGTAGCAGCATCCTCACCGTGCTTCTGACTTTTAAACATCACTCCTTGCAGCATGTGAAAATTATCAAAGGAAACACTCATCATTTTTACAGTAGGAAGTTTAAAGCTTCCTACAGTAGAAAAATTTCTCAACCTCATTATTAGCCACACTCTGAAGAAGACCAGAAGTTATTATCTCTGTCAAAGTAATAGAAATAAATGCATGGAGGGATTGACTTGCTTGCCAAAGGGCATGCTCCCAGAAATCTTCCTCAGCTCCCAGCCCGCTGCCTCAGCCACAGAGCTGGCACATCTGACTGCAAATTAACTTCAACCTCCATTCAAGAGGTTTTAAAACGTATATGGAAATTAATTCCAAGTTGTAAGACATTCAAGGCTTCCCACATCCTGCCACATTACTTGTTAAGAGTCCCCAAAATAATGTGGTACTCCCTTAAACCATTTATGCAATTCATCTTTCATTTCTTTATAGTCAAGAGAATAATAAACTAAGTCATTCTGAAGCAGACACGTTATACAATAAAACTTCACAAGGAAGAATGAATTTCTCTCTTAAGAAACCAGTTAAACTGAGGAATAGCACCCTAAAGAACAGACACAGAAGTAGTGGGAGGATCAAGTTTTTGTCATAGTAGCAGCTCTTCCATAACCTTCTAATATCTTCTATCCATAGCTTTGCATTTAAAGTACCAGATTTTTTTATACTGAAGAGTTTTTACTTGCCTGGCTTCTTCTCTCCCCCATTTTGTCTTTAACAAATTACTCTAATAAGCTCTGTGAGTTTGGTTAGAATTAGTTCAGATGCTGCTGCAAATTATCTTTTAATAGTAATATCCAAAGTGCCTTTCAGAAAATGTTCTTTGGACATTTATCTAAATCCTGTACAGATACTGCATACAAATCAAGAGCAGCTCAGGTCGAGTGGCAGCAAGCCTGAAATACGTGCACAGATCTCTCTGCTGGTTCAAAACCAGAGTTCAAACTTCAACTCTAGAAAAGTGAAAGGTTTTCCATGTTTAGCTAGTAGAATTAATAGTTTGTGACAAGCCAATGAAATCTGTGAGACTAGCAAGCCTGTGAAAGAAGTCTTGCAAAACAGCCATGAGAAATTCACCTGCTTAGCCATAACTAAAGCACTTTCGCTGGGACTTTTTTTCCAAGAACTTCTGCCTGTTCATCCAAACAACTCACTACACATATCAAACAGCAAACAAGATAAGACAGGAGATGAAACAAGACCAAAAAAAAAAACAAAAAACAAACCCATAATCACCAATTATCCAACATTTTCCCCCAATCATCAGTACTTTGGAGATTTTCCAAATGGCCACCTAGTATCCAAGAAAGTGCTGAGAAAGCTCTGAGAAAGGACAAAACAACTCCACTTATCTCCTTGCTGCCAGCAACCTCAGCTCATTCCAGCACAAACACACTGTTTTTCTCACCCTTTAAGTTCCTCTCCCCCAGAAATACTCCCTGGGCTAACCTGCTTCACCTCAGCATCTTTTTGATCAAGTCGGTTCCTACCATGAACTACCAAACTGCACTAACCTTGCACAGATACACAGTGAAGAGAAATGATGCAGTAACAAAGGGAATAAAAATACCAGATGGATTGAATTACTGGATTCAACTCTACAAAAGTGCCACCTGTTTTTCCAAGAGAGTGGTAGTCAGCCATCAAACCCACAGAAGAAGCTGAAATCAAAAAGAGGTCAGAGCAGCAGAAACCCAGCAGAACTCCCAGCGACAAGGGTTTGTGCAAAAAAACATATCATGGAATTTGGTATTTTCCCTGGTAGGAATTTCAATGCTGTCAATGGTGGTCATCGTTGGTCATCATCCAAAGATGCACTGAAGAGCCTATCTGCAAGAACTGACCAGTGAACAAACTTCAAAAGTATTGCCAGATGCAGTAAGATGGTGAGGATAACTACATTTAAAAGACCTGAATGGTAGGAAGCAAAGAAATAGCAAATGTTTCTTTCATAATACACACATTTAAAGAAGTCATTTTACATAAGTAGAGTGGACTTCACTTAAAAGATTATCCATGAAAGGAACGAGCTTATGAAAGTTATTTCAGTGCACCAAACCAAGACGCATGAAAACAGGGCAGGTCAGCATCCTACACTAGTTCACACAGAACCATTTCTGTACAAGAAACAGGGGAAGCTTGTTCCACAGGAGATTTCTGGAGAATGACTGGGATTTCTCACAGCCCTCTTGCATGAGCTAACTCAAAAATCCCCAGAGGAGTAACTGGCAGAGGCTGCACGGCGCTGCAGACAGACACCAAGAGAGCAACAAGTCTCACTGCAGGACAGGAGCAAGTATGAAAATATCCTGAAACTGCAAGTTCTCCTTTCCCAGGTCTTGGGTGACAGCTACAGTACACCCTGCAACCACACCTCCCCAAAAACCCAGCTCCCTCAAAGTGCTATGATGAAACACCAACATACAAGGCAGTATTTTTAAGTGATCTGCCTTTCCCAGTACGCCACTGGCCTGGATTAGCTGTTGAGAACTGCGGGCACGGAGAACACCCCGCTGCTCACACTGAGGCAGGTCACCAGCACCACCACCCAACCTGACTGAGAAGGTTCATCTGCCAAGGAGGAAGCACCCGATGCTACGTACCAGCCAGGAGCCCTCATCTAGCCACTCTCTTTACAATAATGGCCATGCACATTGTTCAGTGTTCACAGCACTCCTTCGGTGGCGCAAAGTGACTCTACAGAAACCTTCCTTCACCTCAGCTGCAACTCGAGTTCTCTCCTCCCAGGGGCTCAGAGCTTCAGCCACAGCTTTTTTTTAAGAGATGAGGCACAAGATACTTCTCCTTTTAGGAAGCCGAATAGCTCGTCAAGTTTTAGAAAGCCTGTTTGGGAGCAAGGCAGTTCACCCGGGCTTTAAGCAGAGGCTCTCCACGTGCAGCAATCACTTCTGGTTGCAGATGAAAAGACTGGGTAGCAAAGTCAGAGATTATTCGACATGCAAAATACATGTTAAAAAAGCAACAAATCAGCTTCCTGTGGTCATAGAAATCTGTTTCCAGCTTCATCCCCCTGGCCACTGAAAGGAACCTTCCTGCGTTTTCCACATACTGGTTTGGTGCAAGGAAACTTGTTCCCTCAACACGTCCCATTCCTTTAACATCTGTTCTTTAGAAAGTGCTTTTCTGTACAATCAAAATTAGTACAAAAAACCCAACTCACTGGCAAAGTAGAAAGAAGGGCCTGTCTCCTTGCTGTATGGTATTTTGGGACATGCTGAATTTGGGAAATAGAAAGGTAAATTAGCCTCTTGCCACGTGCATACTTCCCATCTTCTGGAAAGGTCAGTGTCATTTCTTTTTCTTTTTTTTTCTTTTTTTCTTTTTTTTTTTTTAAATTGTAGAACCATGCAGATAAGTTTTATTTACTTAGGTGCTATCAGAGCTGGATATTTACTTTTACAAATGAGTGGAGAGGAAACAACACAAATCTCAAGTAAGCCTTCCTTCTTAACTGTGACACTGAGGTCTTCAGTTCTTAATTAACAGAAAAATGAACTTTATGTCAATTAATGGTGTATTACAGTCCACTGTAATAAGAAGGTTAAAACGTAATCACACTAAACCAGAAATTGGCCCTTTGCTTTTTCAGCTATATCACTGTCAGTCTTAACAGTTCCAAGACACCTTTGGTGACTGGCTCCCTCTTAGTCCCTGGAGAATCCTCTGAAGTTTATATTATATCCACCATTGTACTATCAGGGTAATAGAATTTACTCTACTGCTGAGACAGAAACCAGATAAAAGTTAGAGACAACACCAGACCAGTAAAACATATGCAGAAGGGAAAAGGGGAAGGGAGAACGGGGACAGGAATGAGAGCACAAAAAACAGGAAATGCATCTGTATAAAACCAAGGTCTGGTTTTACACAAGTTCAGTTTCAAACACACAAGTTAAGTTTTTCAGAGGACTCCAGTTACCTGAAAACACAGCTACATGGGAAACTAACCCAAGTTCATTGTCACAGGAAGGAATATACCCACTCTCTACTTAGAGAACCAAATTTTCTACTAAGAGCACAAGTTTGGGTCTTTGTGTGACACAGACCAAGCAGTCCAACTGCAAACCAGGGCCAGCAAACTCCACCAGCCCGGTGACATGGGTCTCGGGACGATCACCGAGAGCCAACAGCTCCGAGACAGACAGCACGTGCTGAAACCAGCGTGGGGGTTAGCAGGGGAGGAACGACAGCTCCGTGTTCAGGTAGGTGCACGTGGCAGGTAAAGGTGTGTGCTGCTCTGCTGCAGCAGTGCCTGCATGGCAAGCTTCCCTGGACAAGGACATCTAAGTGGTCACGGCTTCAGAAGTTACGAGCTGACGTGTGTAAGAGACATTTTTATCGTCTGGCTGGTAGATGGGAGGGAAGAGAGAGAGTTGCTTGAACACTGTCCTTCCCAACTGTGTTTTGAGGGAGGGGAACCCACTGATTTAAACACTGCTCCATCGTATGTTTAGATGGGTCTGCTCCTGACCATGCAGCTCAGCTGCTCTGCTCCTCTTGAGCTCTTGTCGACAGCAGGTTGTGGAACAGAAGCAGGGCTCTGTTAACGACTGGCAAGGAAATCCCAGAAGTGCAGAAATATCCCATTAAACAGCATTCCACAAAAATATTTTCCTTTAAACTCCAAGTGTGCTTATCAACAAGTGTAGGTCACTGTACATATTTTGGATTCAGCTATCCCTTTAGGAGGCAGGAAGGAAAACAACCCCCAAACTTTTAGCAGGGAGAGTAGTTGACTGCATAGCTCAAGGGGCACTTCTCTTCGCTGGCAGGCAGTTACTACTTGCCCCAGACTTTCAACTCATCCCAAACCATTAGTGAAGACAGTTTCAGATCTCACCAAAAAACATTTCACACCTGAAGAATACTTCATAAGCAGTGCCCCCCAACCCCCACACCTCAGTGAGGTTGTCCTTGAAGATATCTTCTCTCTACCACATATACAGGAAAAAAATTGAAGGAATTTTGCAAGAATTATCACTAGTACCTTGAAGGGTAAAAGGGCATTGCAGCCCACTGAACCCTGATATCAATGGGGAAAAAAAAAATCTTTTTTTCTTTTAAATTTTAAAGGGCCAGAAGGAAATCTGAGAAATTGTTTGAGCAAGTGCTCCAGAAATCAAAAGCAGCAGTTGTTGTCTCTCAGGAAGTTGTTCCTCTGTGCTTTCAAGTTAGTTTTAAAAGAGGACCAGAATCAAAGTGCATTGCATACGTAGTTCAAAGATACTGTGGGTGAACTTTAGATTCCCAAAATACAGAATGTAAGTTACAGATACTTTCTTATAGTCACTCAGTCAGATGTGAATGATTCCAGCACGTTGTCCTTAGCCATGTACTCCATAAGCAGCTTAGATTTATCACCTTAGGCCTTGCTACATTTTCCCCAAGCATTCGTATCAATAAATGGAAGCTGAAGTGAATACATCAGATGGACACATTTTGAAGAACCACAATTCATCTAGGCAAGGTCTTCAAGTACTCAGCACATGGAAGACTTGCAAAAACTTGAATTGAGCCCGTGCTGCACTACATCAGAAGTCATTTTGTGTGTAGCTAACTGTAAACTTTGGTGGTTAAGGGCACGTTTGAGCCAAATTGTGTTCACTAGCCAACAAACAGGTCTGCAACATGGCAAGAACATATTCTAAAACACATATCTCACATGGAGTTTATGACCTAGCTGGGTTGAATGGTTTCAATAACAAGAATTTCAAGCATTTGATCATTTACAGAGAAGGTGGGAGAATATTTAGAAGTCACCAAGTAGCTACTTGAAAAAACACAGGAGGACATGCAATTTCTGCTACGTTAGGTGCTCTTGGGAAAGTAATATTTAATTACATGGCAGGAAATACCAAAGAACTCTCAAGTTTGACCCAAGTTAGTAGTTTGCGCTCGTAGGTAGTCAAGCACCTACAACAGACAAGCTGCAAAACCAACACAAAATGAGAACTAACAGTTGTAAGTTAGAATATCAGTGAAAAAACTATGCAGACATCTGATCAAAGCCAGCCATGGGAATGGGCTCATACTTCAGTGCTGTAGAACCCACTGGTTACAGAAGATAAGGATGGTGCACAAGGGGAAATTGCTAGGAAGTCACATGCAACCATTTTGAATCAAATCTCAGATTATCTCATGTCTGGTTTTATTTTAATTAGGATTTGAGAGGAGAGTTTTCACCAATAAAGGTCTGAAAGCCTTTGATCATTCACGTTATCGGAATTCTATTTAATCTAATGAAAAAGCAAACAGAAGATCTGTTTACATGGACACCTCAAGCACAAGAATTGAAAAGATCAAAGTAATACAATTAGCAAGGACCTGTGAGAGAAAGACTTAATCTCTACAAGTAACTTCCATTTCAGCTTCAGCACAAATGAGCTGAAACATTCTTCCTTCCAAGTGCCAAAAAAGGTTTCTCTCTATTATTTTTGTTTCTTAGCTACGTTACCATACCACTGCAGAGATCTGACAGGATGCTTTCAGATGGGTACGACACAGACTTTTTAAAAATCAGAATTAATTTCACACTACACTTCAGATTCTTAGCCTTGTTAAGTTTTCATGACACATCGTGGACTTCCATTAAGTAGCAGTGTAAAACTAAGCATTGGAAAACATACAAAGATGTCTAAAGGTACAGAAAATCTTTTATTAGAATCTAAGTCAATAATATACGTGACCCAATAAAAGTCTTCCTCAGATGCTATAACAAGTATTGAAATGCCACGTTTTCAAGAGACCATCTGCTGTTTTGACATTTTATGACAATTTCCAAGCCTTCTAGCAACCTCAATTCTACCTCTTTCGATAGCATGTTTTGCAGTGAGGTTTTTTTAACTCTGAATTGGGCATTGGTTTATCATACATTTATAATGCTTTAGAAGTTCTTTCACATTTGACTTTGTAACAAGGTAACCCACATCTTCCACACTTCACTCTAAGTGAAATATGCCCATCTGGTAATGCTGGAGACTAATTGTCAAAGTCAGAGCAATACATGAGCTGTTTCATAGACTTATTCTTGACTTACCAAAAAAGAAAGGTAAGCAACACATGTTTTATTTTGCTTCAACAGCAGCGTTCATACTGTTAATAATGCTAGTAGAATCATAAAGACAGCATTTCACTAGTTGTCAGAACTAAAGTCAAGTTTTGAAACTGAGGTCATAGCCTTGCAATAAAACAAGTTCTAATTATAATCAAGAAACAATCAAGGGATGTTGTGTCAAGAGCATCAAGAGAACACGAACAAACTTCTTTCAGCAGATATTCTTTAGCAGCTCCCAGGTTGAAATTTCATCTTGGTCACTGGCATCCTACTGAAATCAGCATACTTGAGTTGTCATTTTAACCAGGTGGCTCAGCTTTCAACGCTCTGCTCATCCCCTTATGAAATATAAACCACATCTACAAGGTATAATCTGAACGAGACCCATGTCTGAAGCTCGAGACTAAATACATCCCTGCACAAGGTAAGAACTTAAAAAGTTACATATAACACAAAACGTTTCCTACCATACATAGCATGCGTCTGTTCATGCGCACCATACTGTGTTGCAGAGGAAGATACTAAACCCGGCTGTGCGTGTGTTGGTGGTGCCATCATCCTAGCGTTGCCCTGTATTACAGGGCTATAAACATGAGGATGCTGCAGTCAACAGAAAGAAGAAAACAGACAGTTAATTGGGGGACTACCAGAAACAATCAGCTAAACAATCGTTGCGTGTTTAGAAACGGCAACGGCTTGGCTTTACTGTAATGCAGAACTGAAGATTTCGTGCCATCACAGAGATTCTAATTCTTTCTAAAATTTTCATACCATCCCAGTGATCCCAATTGTTTCTAAAAATTCCATACCATCTCTGTGATCCAAACTGTTTCTAAAAATTTAAGGACATTCTCTGCAGTGGGCTACAAGCGAACCAAAACCGTCGCCATACCTCATTTTGGCCACTCTAATAATGTAGTAAGCTTATGTATGTAATGATATATTTATCCAATTATGTATATTTAAAAGCCTTTGAAGGAAGGAGTCCATCAAGTAGTTTATTTTTAGAGCACGTAACTAGATGTCCTGGGCCATGACCTGAAAGGAATTCTTCAAAGAGCTAAAAAGTAGCATCAATAATAAATGCCAGCTTCTAAACTGACCTTAAAATTTGTCACAGGCTTTGAAGCATGTTAGACCACCACCAAGCATGCTCCACGACACAGAAACTGTCCAGAGTGACTTCTTGTGACTGGACAAGACTTATTTAGGACTGAGTCACTTAATTTTTTTTGTTTTGGCTTATCACACACACCGAAAGGACCCTTACCTGAGACTGGTAGTGTGGCACATGCTGCACAAGAGGCTGATTAGGAAACTGTTGGGGACTATATGCAACATATTGTGTGGAATAAGCAGGTGGAGTAGCTACAATTGGAGGGCCTGCTGCTGAGGCAGGGTGCATCATGGTGCTCTGGTGATGTTGGTCTTGCCGTTGCTGTGGCATATTTGGTACTACAAAGCAAAGAGTAAGTCACATTAGAAACAGAGGATGAAGAATGACCATTTTCTTGAAAGGTTTTACATTAGTGTCACCGTAACCAAGTGGAATAGCCTCACCCCTCACCTTTAACCACATATTAGAGCTCTGTCAAAAAGGAACAGTGTGAAAAGGGGTTCCTCCAGGAAATATCTGATTTTCATCACTGCCTTTGAGCCATGTATATGGCTACAAACCCAGGCCTGCCATTTTTGTAAAGGAAGAAAGATGGAGGGAGAGGAAAAACTGCCCAGAATCAGTAACAGAAGAGAAAGGTTATACCAGGACACCTACATGAACCAATTTTGATCCTGTCCCCTTCAAAAGGCTTAATTCACCCTTCTATGGAACTACTCAGCAACTGTTCCATCAGCTGGGAAGCTGAGTTTATTAATATGACTTGTGCTTATGGCTGAGGAGAGCAGAACAAAGGTCTCCACGCAGCCGTAATCTGAGGTATTCACATCTTTTAAGCTCTGTGCTACCCCTCAGAACAGCAGAAAGCAACTTTGAGGTCACAGTCAGCAATGAAGGGGACAAGTCAACCTAGAAGAGCAGTAGGAATAATTAGAAGGAAGATGAAGAAAGCAGAGTAGTGATGGACCACCTGAGCTATTCTGGTAAGAGAACCAACCGAACCACAGCAGCAAGGCACTCGGAACAAACTAACCCAGCCTACTAAGCAACAGGCCATGAGAGTTCAAGGTGAGCTCCAGCCTGCTGCAGTGAGACTGCAACTAAGGACTAGGCTGACTCAAGCACCTGTAAACTCCCCTGCAGTGTGCAACGTGGACAGACCCCTCAGAGAGAGGAAAGGGGGGAAATGTTGAAGATGTCAGTGCATTCACGCAATGAGGATGTAATTACACTGCAAATCAACAACAGAAAAGAGTAAATACCAAATAACTCAAACAGCAGAAAGGCACTGGGCTTTCACATGCAGCTCCTTCAAGACTATGCTGCACACAGAATGGATATGCAGAAAATAATGGAACTTAAAAAAAAAAAAAGGAATTCAGAACAGGAGAGTGGCCTCACACACGCAGCCATATAGTTCTGATAAAAACAGTGTTACCAACCAAAACATTTCATGGGTCAGGCCACAGTAAAGTCAGTGTGCTTTAAAACAGAAACACATGGCAGGTTTTTGTCTTCCCTACATTCATAAAGGCTACTTGTTTATTTCTGAACAGCAGAACTGCTCTTTTAAACAATTTCTTCCTCCAGTGACTGGAGCTGCAGCACTGGAACCCATCATCATGAACCACTGTATAAAACTGCAAGAAAGCAAGCACTGTGCAGGATCTGAGCATTATCTGAACCAGGGCTATAAAAACAAGCCCATCCTTCTTCTGCCCCTTTGTTGCACTGCCCAGAGCAGAGTGCCTCTAGCCACACGTTCTCCTCTCCACAGCCACAGGTGGGTGGCACTTGTTCAAACCATGGTACTGTTAGTCCAGCTGTTTGGTTACTGGTGCAGAAGGAATGCAAAAGAACAAACTGGAACAGCACTAAGTTCTTTCCAGAAGAGCAGCATAACGTGCTCTTTCTGAAAAAATATCGATTCTGCTTACTGACAAAAAACCCACCCTCTATTAAAGCACCACTCAAGGCTCTGCTGTGAACCAGGACAGAAAACGAGCACAGAAAGTTTGATTTAACCAAACCTGTAACATTTATGACACACAGGAGACAATCAGCTCACCCTAACATTCCAATAACAGAGACATTTTCCCCTTTGTCAACTCAGATGCCAAACTGAGCAACTCCCCATTACTCAAAGCTACATTTTGGCTGAATTAGTTTCTCTAGAAATGCATTGGTATTTCCACCTACTTCCCTTTATTAAAAACAGCACTTAAAATACCAACGGAAAACAATCTGGATTAGAAAACACACAAACATTTGTGATTGATTCATGCTGCATGCAGACTAAGAACCAAACGGGCAGTATTATTCTCACCTTTACCTGCTCTATATGTCTTGGCTTGGTTCACTGGCATGGGAGTCATGGGAATAGAATACAGAGGCTGCAAGAGAAGGAAGAGTCGATGTTATGATATTCCTTTAAAAAATGAATGTGTGTTGCAGGGGGGGCTCCATTCAGCTTTGATGTGTTTTACCCTGCTATGTTACGTGGTTTAGTGAACTCTGCCCAGCCCATTAGGTTTTCAGGGATCAGTGTGATTAAGTCTGTATGTACAAAACAACAAAGGCCACATGGTTTGTGGCATCCAGTTGGGTAATGCTACCACGGCTACTTCAAGCAGTGTACTAAGTCAGACAGCTTTGTAGCAGAGTTAGATTTGAAATCCTTGCAATCCCTACAACCAAAAACTACTGGGACACATTAACAGTTGCTTAAAACTTAAAGAGAATGAGACTATGCTTGGAGGACTGGAAGAGGTCTGCATAGATTAACAGTCAATGTGAGTAAAAGCTGCTGGAATTTATAAGTGAGACTATTAAAACATCCAGATTGAGGGAACATTGGGGGAAAAAAAATAAATCAGTATTTACACAGCTAAAACTTAACAACAATGTAATTATGCCCTTATCCACGAGTGATACAAGCTCTACCCTTTCACTGTTTTAGCTTGGATCTCTGAAGTCTCTTCAACTGGCTGACAGTCACCTGAAAAGTGTTAATGGATTTACAGCATATGCTGCACTTTACCTGCACGCCTGGACTCACTGGAACCGGGTACATCATATTTGGTGCAAAACAAACAGGCTGAGTGTACACTGGGGTTGGCTGCTGATGGCCCACCATGGAGGGGCTAGGCTGAGCTTGAGGACGAGGGGAGGTTGGTGTAGTAGAAGGTTTCGGCTACAAGGAGAGTTCAGCAATGCATATGCAACATTAGTTTGATTATCCTCCCAAGTAAAAGGCCTGCTTATAAAGATCTACTCAAAGGCAATGTTAAACAGTAGCAAAAAAACTTACTTGAGCAAAAGATCGAGGGTTGAACTCTTTCGCATTAGGATTAAGTGTTGATTTTCTAACTTGCCTAAACATAAAGAACAAAAAAAAATGTTCAGCATTATTCTGTTATGAGTGTATCTGCACAACTCTGCAACACTTAAGAGATTTAAAGAGGTGAAATACCTCATTTCCATCTATGACTCGGGTTTCTGATTACTCAAACAATACATGGCATGTAAAAAGCCATTCTCATTTCGCTTATCCATAAAAAGGTTTTCCTGCTGTTGATACTACAGCTCACATGAGCCAGGAAAACATTTAAATAAGCATTTAGATATGAATTAGGCATCAACAGGACCACAGTTCAGCTCTGCCACTGACTCACGAGATGACTTTCAGCCCAGTCACTTCACCTGCTGTGTAGCAGGGAGTACTTAGAGCAGCCACATAAACAGTAAGATAATACACATTCCTAATAGCTTTGTCTGCAAATGGCTAAATGCTAATAAGAGATGTGCTTCTGCTAAAAGGCATAATTACTCACTCTGAAGTATCTTTCTTCTCCTCTTTATCCTCTTTCTCTTGTTTACTTCCAGGCCCAGACGTCTGTACACCTTGAGAAGTTACCTCAGGCCCTCGCTTTTGCTCAGAACTATTACTTATTGAAGGAGAAATACTTGGACTATTAGGTTTGCTACTGCCACCGTTAGAGTTAGCATTACTGCCAGTTTCTATCATAGATTCTTTTGGAGTTGATTCTGGCTTTTCTTTAACTACATCTCTTGATTTTTCACCTTCTCGGGTTTTGTTTAGCAGCTGATCCACTGCATCTGAAGAGGAACTCGACTGTAACTGAAAAAAAACCCCAAGGAATATATTCAGTAAATTGATACACAGAGCTAGGGAGAGAGAAACTATTGCTATCACATCCACAGAATAAAATACAGTCCCATAGGCCTCAATCATCTGGAAATAACCTTTTGAAACATACATTTCCATTTCTACTAGAAAAGAAATCTATGAACACTGACAATGTTTTAAGCCTATGCTGTGGAAGAAGCTATTCAGCAACTCAACTGACCTATACGTTGATTAGGAAGTGACAGGAAAACTTAAGAACCCTCTAGACTCAAGCCCCTGTGTGATTTAACACTTGAAAAGCTAACCTGGTTTAACAAACCATTATAACTAGGAAATAAGTAATACAAGTTGTTCCATTTTCCTCAGCAAAACCCTTTCTTTAACTTTGAAACAGCTCTTCCATATGGAGCATAAATTTGATAATTATTTGTACCTAACAATCAAACAGGTTTCAAGTACTATTTTTCAGTGTGCAGTCAATATGCACATTTATGTTTATTAGGCAACTGTACTAGCAAGAGTCAGTATTGATTTTGTAATATATAGCATGAATCCTTACAGATATTTTCATTAATTAAGCATGAGTAGTAAGGACCTGTTTTCCTGTAAACACATGCAATCCATTCAATTCCTTTAAATAATCAGAATCCACATGAGAACTGTGATATCATGAAGTTACATAGAAACTTACCCTGAAGTCATTCTTAAATTTCTTTAAATCATCAATCTGTTTTCTATGTTCTGAAACAATTGGAGATACACCTGTCAAACAGAAGACCAACATTGTCCAAGCATTTCTAATACAAGTTTTACATACAACCTTTACTTTTCTATATTTGGTCATATTGACATATCTAAAAATTATATAATGATACAATTTTATCTGTAGTTTGGTGTAATTCCATGAATTATGTGTATGAGCACAGAAAAATACCCTGTGAAATCACAGTGTTACATAAGTGACATATCTATAGTTCTAATGCATCACACCAAGAGAGAAGCCCTGAGGTGCAGGGACTGCAGAATTCAGCTGAACACAAAGAAGCATCCAATAAAACTCTCAAAACATAACATGCCAGCATTTCAAGACAGAGCAATTAAAGGTGAAGCAGTGATCTGAGTTCAACAACATGAAAAGATTTCTTTTTGAGAACTGAATGAGCAAGCAACGTTGCAGAGGAAGTTTAAGGCATAATAGGAAGAAGAAGTTATAAAAAACTATGCTGTCCACCATCCTTAGAGCTGTGCTCACAATACTGCTAAGTAGAAACACTCATTCAGTCCAAAATGAAAAACCAGCTTTGTGAGCAGGAAAAAAAAACCAGGGGGCAAGGGGGAAAAAAAAAAAAGGAAGAACAAAAATGAGGACACCCCTCCCCAAGTAAAAAGAAATCACATCATCCACATGAGCATCTCTACACTTTGTGTTGATGAAATGAATCAAGAACAACATTTAAAATTGTAGGCCTGCCACTTCACAACTCCCTGACCAAATTCTTGCTATAGAACACCCAAGCCAGGCTGCCTCCAAGTCCTCCTTCAAATGCTAACAAAAGCCATCAATATAGCAGGTTTGGTGCTCAGAATTCCTACATTGCTGAAGGAGATATGAAAACTTTTGACACAAACCTTTGTTTTCAGGTTTAGGAAAACTAGGAGAAGTCTCACTTGGTTTTATATTCTCCTTGTTTCCAGTTGCAGAATTTTGCCTCTGGTCCTGAAGCCTTGTATCTTTAGCTAGAAAAGAAATTGCCAAAATTATTCTCTTACACACAACTCCAAGTGATCACAGAGAGATGGCAAGACAGAAACAGAAGAGACATTTAACCATGTTTAGCCTACAAAAGAAAAAACCCAAAGTTACACATTTTCTGCTACCTAGCTAGGTCCTGGAGGGTTAGCTTCCCCCCTTCTCCACCCTACCACCTCTAAGCCCCATAAAAAAGTCCCAATCAAACACATCCCTCTCATCATACACAGAACCTTAATTAGGCTGAAATAACTATCAATGGAGAGCTCATTATTTTCAATAGTCCACGCTCTTCACACCAAATACTACAACCATTTGAGAGTTCTTCAACATTTGACTGTGCTCTTGAATGTGATTTTTTTTTTCCCCTCTACCTTTTGCTATGTTCAAAATACTCTTTGAAACCAGTAGCCCATGTTTCTTTAAAACAGCCAGGAACTCAGTTTGGAAAAAAAAACCCAAATCCTCAATTAAGTCAAACACCTATGAGCCCATACTTCTTAAATAAATTAAGCATACAGATTTATCAAGAAGTCTTTCTTCCTGAGAAAATGGGCCCTAGCTAAGCAGCAAAATGAAATGCCTCAGAAGTTTTCCCATTGTTTAGAAAGCAGCTCTGCTCTCGTGTGGGCACACCCACTGCCAGGGATCAGGGAAGGGAGCAGCTGCAGGCTGCAGAGGGGAACTCACCTTCGCTGGAAGGGGTGACGGCTCTGTTGGATGCTGGGCTGGCAGGGGTAGGAGAGGCAGCTGGAACAGGCATGGCAACAGATTCAGAGGGAATAGTACCAGGCTGAGGAGAAGGCAGAGCTGGTCCCGTGGGAGTGCTGCTCTGCCTTGGAGACCTAGGCCTGTGTGTTTTAGGGGATAATCTCGGAACTAGAAACAAACAGGAAAAAATAGTTATAGGATAAGTTTCCTTATTCGCTCAGCAGTTTGTTTATTTTTAAAAAGACTAAAAACATGCTTTAAAATACTTAGTGGAACATTATATAGTAACTGAAAACCTGTTTACCTTTCTCAGGTACACCTCTTAGTTGCTTACAACGCAGCATTTCAGATAAGTGGGTATGATTTTTCTGAAGACTGCCCCCTAATATGTGTTACTGCCCTTTAATCCCACTATGAAACTGCCATCCCAGTCCCCCTGCAGCACAACTACAACAGCTCACATTAACACAGTTTCAGGCAGAACAGAAAAGGTGGTCAGGTCTCCATACAAAGAGATGTAAAACCATTTTTTTTAAAGGGCTGAAAAAACACATCCATTTTACAACGGCCTCTTTTGGAGGTTTGCCAGCTGGAAAAAAAAACAACATAGCCTACTGAAAGAAGATTATTTGATGTAGAATTTTGCCACTGTGCTAAAGAAGCAAGGAGATTTGTATATTCTTTCAATGATAAGTTGTGCCTCCTGCTTCCCGCTCATCCCTCTGTGGCTAGTTAGTTGCTTTACATCACATATTAACTTCAAGTGAGTGAGGAGAAAGAGGTGAGTTGTTTAACAGTCCTACTTGCATGTTAGTAATATATAAAGTGGGGGATGGAGAGGGAAGATGAATCACCAGATAATGCCAGAAGAGAAGTTTAAATCCTTTCCACAAGGCAACAGGTCTAGGGGGGGGTCTAATTCCTCCCTTCTTTCTGGAAAAGGCATTCCCACTGCACTCCTCTAGAATTCTAGTACTGTGAAGAAGTATCTACCTCCAAACTGTCTCTCACCTGCCCTTCGAGTCCAGAAGGCTCCCAGCTGCTGACAATGCACTAGAGAACATGGCCTCAACTACAAAAGCTCTAGACTAGGCACGTGTCAGAAGACTGAGCTTTACATTTTTAGTCAAACATTAAAAAAAAGATATTAACTGATTCAAAAAAGAAGAGACACTGACTGTATCTCCTACTGCTGTACTTGGAGAAACACAAGAAGACCGCTACTGCTGTACTTGGAGAAACACAAGACCACTTAAACCTGCACAGTTTTAAAAGGAAAAGTATTTCCAGCTTAACTCTAGTAACATTTCATCTCCTCTTTTAACACCAACCTTCCTCTATCCAAACTTCACTTCTAGACCACAGCCCAGTTATACTGCCATTAACCAAATCCAGTGATGCAACAGGACGTATGTGACTTTGTCTTTTTCAGTAACTCTCCTGAAAATTACTTCTTTCAACAACTAATTCCCACCTTTTCCTTCCTTTCTCTTCATACAGCATCCGACTTGACCTCTCTGCAGTTAGGACAATGTTGCACTTGAAAGACCAACTCAGCAACTAATTTACTAAGCTCTCTGGGAAGATCCTTCACCTGTGTCACCTACAGGAGCTAAGTTAGCAGACCAGTGTTTATTCAGAGCCTGAATCATCTAGAAACGCAGCGTTCTGCTTAACATTTGCACTCTAAAGTCCCCCTGGCAAGCCATCTGCAATAAGCCAAGCTTTACCTACCCCCACTGACAACTGATGACCACGTCCCACCTGAAGGGCTGCCTCGTGCCACTGCAGTAGTAGATGCTTCCCCTGGTGCATTATGAGATACAAATTCTAAGCCACTTGAAATTGTACCCCTACCAGTAGAGACTCTGTGACCTCGAGGGTGCCGTTGTGCCTTAGGAGACATCCGCGGAGGCCCTGAGAAAAAGAAGACAACCCCACACAATAAGTACTTCATGTCCATCACTAAGAGCACCCAAACATACTCTCTGTTTTTAAAGCTGGATTTTATCTAGTAACTCTCAACAATGCAGTCATACAATCAAGCAATTTACACTGACATCGACTAGAACCGGGGATCCAGGAGACTTAAAAAAGGCCAAGCCATTGGTCCAGCCAGGCTACCAACACACTCATCCCCTTGCTAGGACAGCTCACAGTCATTGATATTTAGAAGCTTTATCAGAATTGAAACAGGTATGCAAGCCACGGATTTAAAATATTTGAACCCAAGTATCCAATATTGCTTACTGCAAGACAAGCCATAAGGGTTAGTGGCCCAGCTCCCTCTGGATAAGCACAGTCCCAGGCTACCAGACAGCTTCCAGAAAAGAAACAATTTCCATCGCTTTTGTCAGGTGGTCAGTGATACCAACCATTTATTTACAGAGGAGTCACCACTGGCTGACCAATGCTCTTGGGGAACTGCAGCAGAGCATTCTGCACTGAGGCTAAATTGCCTGCAGCAGGTCACAATTCATTTACCAGTCAGCAAAATTGCAACTAAACGAGTTATTGTCATCCCAAGGTTCAAGTCATGCATGTTTAACGCCAGAAGCTAAAGTTGTAAGTGAGTGCAGCAATTCTGAACAGCTTATACAGCTGCCACAGAACAGTTAGGCTCAAGTCTAAGCAGCAGTACAGTTACTACATCCTAACAAACATTTTCTTTACAAGATCAAGCTCAAACGTTGATACTTCAAAAGGAAAAACTGTGTATGAACATCAGACAATCTGGCGGATTACAGTTCATTCTTAATGTAGGTCAATAACAGAGAGGTGCTCAGATAATGGCTTTCTGGTTTCAGATAAAAGATCTAAAATATCAAGTACCTCTTCTGGCTACATCAATCTTTAAATGTCAGCCTCTATTTTAACCATGAATCTAAAGTATGCTTCAACCCAAATGACATACAGGCTAAAGAATACACACTTTCCAGCAAGCCTCCTCTAGCAGCAGGAATCAAACGTTGCAGTAAGCAGCAGTTCTCTGCATGCCTGACCAAGCAACCCCAAGTGCTACAGAACAACTGAATTTACAGGTGGATTGGTATCCTCCCCCCAAAAAAAAAAGCTCCCATTGACAACTGACAGCAGCACGCCAGGCAGACGTGTGGGCTGCCAGCCACGTTCTGGTGATGGACCACCTCCAGCACTTAGCAGGCAAGCTGCAGAACAGGGCCACTGCTTCAGCTGGCTGGAGGAGTGTCCTCTCTCCCGTGGAGCCAGCTACAGCAGAGACTGCAAGTTCCCAGCCAGCTCAGTACAACCAGTTTGCATTTTTCCCAGCCTCCTAGACCGTGTTGTGCAGGCTAGTTTTAAAAGCTCACTTAAAAATATGTGTTCCTTACTGTACCCTCAAAGGACAACCAAGTTTAGTTCAGATACTTCCACACACAGTTACCACAGTCTCCCAGGTTGGCCTTTCCCTGCATGTTACTGACTGCTAAAGGAGCTGACACACTGCTCTGCCTCAATGCAAACAGATCTAAGGTTTTCTACAGATGGCCCTTTGAAGCAGCTTATCCTATCCCATTCTGCAGTGCACTTCTCTGAGTACAGCACTGTTGTTTTTATTGGTGGTGTTTTGTTGTGGGTTTGGGTTGTTTTGTTTGGTTTTTTTTTGTTTGGTTGTTTTTTTTGTTGTTTTTATTATTATTATTTTTTTGCAAAAGGTAATTAAATTATTTAAATTTGGTTTTTCTTTTTGTGGATTAACTGCATGAAAATATTTTCTACTTTATATAAATTTATGTTCCTAAAAAATGCCCTCTAAAGTTATCAGGTCCTGCATGTTGCTGTTGGTTAAGACACTGAGCAGCGTTTTACAAAGCTGAGTTTATTTCATACCAACTCGGGAAATTTCCACAGCTTTATTTTGTTTTTGTAAAGTTCTTCAAATAAAAAGGTTAATAGAAATAGTCTGATAAACTAAAGTTAAAACACAAATTATAGGTTAAGTAATGAAGAGGAAAAACAATTTTGTAATTAAACTCACAAAGGAGTTAAACAAAGACAAACAAAAACATGAACAAATCGTGGTATTGTACCTTCTGAAGACATGCGTTTAGGCATAGTAGAGACAGGAGCTGGAGAACCATGAGCAGAGGGGTGAGACGGGGGCCTGGAGGGCCGCGAGGGGGGCCTGGAGGGCGGCCGTGTAGGGGTGGCTGCCCGAGGTGGAAGAGAGTTGGGACCTGACTGGTAGCGAGAAGGTGGGCGAGAGGAAGGAGATGGGCAAGGCGATGGCCAGGGAACACCTGACAGAACAAATGATATGAAGGAAAGTATAAAAACTAAAGAAAAAATTATGGGGAAAAAGGTCAACAGAAAAAAAAAAAAAAGTAAAATATGACAAAATGATTTTTTCATGTTTAACCCTTTGGGGGTAGAGTAGCTTATTTCTGCAACCAATAAAATAAGTCTCTGCAAGGTTCTTTCTTCCACTTCGGGTCAAATTTAACATCTGAATGTCACAAACTCCCCAAAGGGTTAATTAGGATCTACAAATACTACTAAGGAATAGACAGTAAAGCAGGATCTGTTAGCCTATCATATATATATATGTTCTACAGTATGCATCACTCTTGACAAGCTCCTGAACTACCTCCCAGAGGTTCTCAGCCAGCGGTTCACATACGCTACCGGCTACACAAACTGCTACTTTCAAACCAAATGATGAGCAATTATCCACTCTAGGAACTGTATCTTTACAAAAAACAGCGGTGTTCAGTGTCTGAATCCTGACATTTATGCCTTTCTCAGTTATCTGAAGTATTAATGTTGTATTTTAATCTAAGAGATAGGGTTTGTTGTTTCCAAAACAAAGCAACTGAATTCACGAGCCCTTCTGAGTATTTTAGGTATATGAGCCTCAATCAGCAGAGTGACAGGATGACAGAAACCACAACCACTACCACAAATCTCAAGGTTAGTGTTGACTGGGCGAGACTCAGTTGTCCATCCTTTATACAGCTAACTCTCTGTATTTAAAAAGGAAGTCTCACTTACCTTTAGGTGTTTCTCAGACTTCCTCTCCAGACAGAGGCACTCGAGTACTACACATTTTTCATGTTTTCACAGCAATCTCATATAATAGCTTTTTGAACTCATAAAAATAATGCCTCAAGGACAGGCTACTGCTGAAATCCATCCCAAAAAAATGGTGTTTGGTTTATGAGGCACCAATTCCTGCTATACAGTGCCTAGTGGTGTCTGTTTATAAATATCACCCATGTGTACGGCAGAAAACACTCAAACAGCCATTTGGAGAGTAGAATTTCCACTCCTTTTCCCTTAATGCTTCTCTTACTTTCTCAGCAGTGATTTTTTTCCCCTTAGATCATTGTAAAGTCAGCAAGTTGCTTTATTCTTTTTCGTGGTAAACAGAATTGATCCATGCACCAGAAAGGAAGAGTGATGCTTCCTCAGCTGCCTTTCACTAGGTGTCAGCATTGCTACTCCTCCAGAGCTCAGCAGCAGTAATATATAAAGCAGTTTTTAATCTTTAAAACCACATACTGCACCATCATCTAAGACAAAGGTGTTTGAGAAGGAAACCAAATGACATTTCTGCTCTGCAAAGCTCTACACACAGTGCAGACAAATGCACGTTCTGTCAGGAGTAAGTTCAATCCAAGTCACAATCACCACCTCTGTGTTAAATGATGAATGCTCCCCTAGCTTATGGGGTACACATCCTAGGACCACACCACACAGCTTTTCAACATCATTAGGTAATTGACTGCAATTTTATAAGGCACATTCGTTTAGACTTCAGATACTTGCCTCCGTTAACTACTCTTTGATCTGCTCCAGAGTTAGGGCTGAATTCTGAAGTATGGGATCCAGACCTTGAAATTGGTGGGCCTGATCCAGACTGGCCCATCCTTGGTGAGTTTTGTCTTCCACTTCCCCAGGACGGGACATCTCTATTCCTCTGTCCAGGTGGAATGTATTTATTTTCTCTGAAACACAGCAAACTTCCATCAGTGACAATGAAAAGTACCTGATCAAGTGCTCTTTTGGTATTTTCTCACTCAAGTCAAGCTAAAGGAAAATTCTAAATACTATGAGGTGCTGACCTAAGGTCCAACTGATGAATTGGCTTTTGATACTGACCACACAGTCCACTTTCTAGGAGCCCACAGACACTGAATGATTTAGTAGTAATGCCTGAAATTCTCCATGACACACCAAAACCACTGCCCTTTCCTGTAATTTGGTATGAATTCACCACAGTGACATACCAGAAGGGGGAAGTCTGTTTCACTACAGAGATAATATGGGGCCAAGCAGAGGTGTACAAGTCAGCATGAGTGCCAAAACCAGCACAGGATTGTTTATACAAGGCTCCCGACCTCATCAGCCCTGCTGAAAAAGTGCAGTTTCAATGAGTAGATTGCTACTGTACCAAAATATGTGCACTATTTAAATAAAAATACTCTTCATAGGGTAGTGCAGTACCTAATGTTCACACCATGTCCTTCTCGTTCATTAGCATTTCTCTGAACAGCAGTATATTTTTCTTCTTCTGTTCTTTCATCATTTTCCAAGGCAACCCGAGCTTTGTATTGGGCACTTGATTCAATTTCCTCTGCTAATTGAGTTGCTCTGGCTTCCCGTTTTAAAAACTCTTCTGAATTATCTCTTTCTAATGGCACCCTAAAAGACAATGGAAAGGAAAAAAAAAAAAAAAAAATCTCTGAAATGCATTCAAAGGCACAAAAGGAGCTACAAAAAATGACACAGCGTTAATTCTAACCAAGTCAGAGTAAAATAAAACTTGCTTTTACACCAGCAGACTTGCTTTTTTAGGGTGTCAGTATTGCTGGACTGGTTTGATATTATTTAATTGTCATTTACCTGCCTCGAGAGCTGAGGTCAGGGTGCAGAGCTTTTCCATATGACTCCCAAAATCCCCACTCCCTAAAGCAATGTAAAGGCTCCAACTTTTAAGATGGCTGAGTACATGAGCAATAAAAAGCCTTGGTCTGTTTAGATAGGAACCTACCGTAAGAGACCGAATTTGAATTCCTTTAGCTATTTACACATTCCCAACAGACACAAGAGTCCCCACTCCTACTGAAATTAAAGAGTTACATGCTTAATCCTTTGATAATTCCAGCCATAGAATTTCAGCTCTTCCTGTTATTCATAACTGCAGAAAAGATGAATGCAATACATTAGAGCACGGGACCAGAAACCCGTGACTCACTTGCCACGTCCTAGGACCTCAAACCCATTCATTCCCTGTGTCTATATTAGGTAACAGCCTATTGCAAAAAGCATATGTAGCTCCCTTCAGAAAGCCACCAAGGAAGAACTCAAATACATGAGCAAAGAAATACTGAAGGAGATAACCAGAGATGGACATCAGACCTGGCACTGCCTTCTGTCCACCCACAGGTTTGGTGTTTACTTAGTATTATTTTTGTTAAAAGTATTGTGTTTTGTAAAAAGTATTGGGTTTTGCTTTTCCTCTGATCCTAATTTTGAGTTCCAGAAGTGATTTCATCTAACATTACTTGAGAATAAACTACACAAAACACAGAACACCACTGAGGGTTGGACCACACGATGCTGGGCATTATATGAACACTACCGCACATACTTTGAATACTATAAAAAAGAACAAAGAAAGTAGGTGGAGATACAAGCCAAGTATGAAATAATATATGCAAGATTACTCAAGTGTTGGTGGCAGAACTAGGAAAACAAGTGGCTTTGCCAAATTCCAAGCCAGCACTCAGCTACTGCATCACAGGTTTTTCCTCACACACATTTTGGCCGCTCCAGACATCTACTGGCCTTATCAATGGTAACTGTGAGAATATTAAATAAAAACCTTACCCTTCAGGGTGAAGCTTTGGCTCAAGGAAGATATGCATGAACACAACACATACAAACCTGAACTCACAGGCCCTGCTTACCCTGTATTAATTATACACACAAGAAAGGAGAACGCCCAAAACATCCTCATTTCTTTAAAGGGACCAGGAAAAAATGAAGGGATGTATGTGGTAACACTGAAGGCAGCCTTACCAAGAAAAAGAATGATTCTACATTTTCTAACAGGGAGAAGGCCATTAAAGATGAAACAAAGGGGATGGGCAAGATGATGTTGTTCAGAATCCCAGTGATGAGTGCAGCACGTTGAGCAGCTGACCAACGTACTAATGCAGCTGCTCTTGCTAGAACACAAACTTGCACCTCTACGCAGCCTGAGCAACTCTACCTGCTAAGGCTTAGCTTAGGAAGAGAAAACAATCAAACAATAAATCCTTTACAATCCTCCAACTGCACTTCTAAGCATTTAGCCACACTGCTGCTCAGCCCACACGTGGGGAATCAGGAGAAGGGTTTCCCAGTTTAGGAGACTGATACGCAGAGCGAGTTGCTTGACTCGGAAACAACGGAATTGGTCCCTGGCAATTTAAAGCCACCTTCATGTTTTTAATCTGTTTCCATTAATATCCATAAAGCAGAAAGATGGAAGACTAAAGTTCAAAAGTACAAAAAGTACTTAGAGCACTGAAGTATATGAAAGAACAGCTTCCCCAGGATTCAAATGTAAGCCGATTAAGACTCTTTGATTATCACCATGACACAGGTCTATTTTAACAAAATAGTAAAAATAAAATTGTTGAACCAGAGACCTATAGACAAGTGCTCCAATTCCACACACAAAAATCAAAATATTCACTGTAATTCCTTGATGTTCAAAAATGAGTTTATGCTTTGGGGGGTTAAAAGAGTGGGGAAAAAAAAAAAAACAACATTAAAGACATTTCACAATGGCTGTTGAACATCTGGAATGGATTTGTTTTGCAGTTGCAGTTAACATTATAGCTGCAGACTACTGGGAACAGGTCCACGCTGCCAAAGTAGCCAGAGCAGGCTTTATACTACTTCTATATTTGAGTTGTTATTATACTGTAACTGAAAGCTTTAGACCTGGACAAGTCTGCTAAATAAGTTATCCACAGCACCCACACCCTCCCCCCCTTAGTTATCACCAACATTTCAACATTCCAATATCTACCAGATCAATTGTCTCAATAAAATCAGGATTTAGACAAACTCTTCTGCTAGGTTAAACACAAATGACAGGCAGAGCATCTATGTAAAGACAGTTTCACAATTTGGTATTTCCCACCATATTCGTGTAAGTTTTTCTAAGAAACAAATATTATTGCATGCCTAAATTCAGAAAATGTTGCAATGTGAAAGAACTGTGCCCATTTAAGGGAATATATAATGATTACTACATCTAACTATTCACAGAACGCTGGCAAGGTTTCTTAAGCACTATTCATTCATTGCTTTTTCAGTTATTTGATTCCACAGCTTTAGAAAGCACGTAAAATTATCTTCAGAATATAAAGTTTGTCAAACCAAGGAGAACACAAAATACAAATCTAGGAACAAAATATTTTGGAACTTACGTATAAGAAGACAAACTGCTGTCATAAGTTGATACTACACCATAATTTTCTTCATTGTAACGAAACATGTCATTGGGATCCCATCCATTAGACTAGAAGAAAATGATGTTTGTTTTTCAAAATGACACTGGAAACACATTCCCTTAATATTAAGGGCTGATGGCAGAAGAAGTTAAACCTTTTGCCCTTTTTCCTGGGCCTACAAGTTCACTGTGTGGAGAACAAAGTTACTAAAGCCACGTTTTATTTCAAGGAACTTTGGTCATTGGATGCACAGATTTTACCTTCCAAAGCAATTTTTTTTGTCTGGGGGTGTGTGTGTGTGTTGTTTTATGAGTTGTTTTTAAGTACCATGCCCACTCTGTACTACAAGGTGACTGGCTAGCAAGAAATACATGCACAGGTACCTTGTCCAAATTAACACTCAATATTAGAGGTGTCCCTTGCTGTGCAAGAGTTGAAAGTTTCCAAAGGCCCTTCTGATGTGATTATCTGAGAGACACACCCCACAGGGAGCAGGTCCCTGTTGATCTGCACAACGTCCCCACTTCAGTAAAACTGCTATTACAGCACTCAAGCACAACAATAGATGTTTAGAATGTTTTACAAAAGCACTGGCAGTATGAAGGATTCTAATAAATCTCAGCTGTACAGTATATCCACTAAAATTGACAGGATAACTGTTCTGCCCAGGCAAAGGTAATATGCTCTACAGGAACATTACTAGATTCTCCTCTAATCAGTAATATTCTTTCTTTAGTGTATTGCAGTCTGAATACCTTGCTAAAAAGAATGCATGGTTGAGTAA